CATTGCCCCCCTATCCACCTGTCATACCCCTTTTTTCAAATCCATAAATGCCACAAAAACCTCTTTAGCCTTATCTAAATACTGTTCATTATATGTTTCACTGTAAACACCTGGTCCACACACCCCCTACCTTTCCTAAAGCTCCTTTTTCAACTGCTATCCTATTCTCCGTCTTACTCTTAATTCTTTCAAAAATAACTCTACCATAACACTTTGCCAGGTATACTCAACAGGGCTTTTCCCCCCCATAATTTTGCACCTCTTTTATCCCCTTTGCCTTTAACAAAAGGAACTATGCATGCCTCCCGCCCAATCCCTAGTTTCCTTTCCTCTTCCATTTCTTTTTATTAAAAATAATTGCACCAACATCCAAAACTATATCCCCACCTCCTTTTAACTTTCTAAACTTTATCCCATCAATCCCGGCTGCCTTACCCCCTTTCATTTTACTACGCCTCACGAACTTCCCCCACCCCTCACAATTGCTCTTTCCTCACTCCTACAAGATGTTGTTCCCCCTTGCCCCATACACGAAAATCACAGCTTCCCTATCTTCATCAACATTTAACAATTCCCCAAAATATTCCCTCCATCTTCCCAATACCTCTACTCTCCAATTAATAACTTTTTCTCTCCTATTTTTAAAATGACAAATCCATTTGTTCTCTAGGCTTTCTTAAATTGTTAATCTCACTCCAAAACTTTTTCTTATTTTCAACAAAATTTTGTTGATAACATCTCACCCACTCTCCTCATTTGCTCTTTTTTTACACTGCTTCACCACTCTCTTAACTTCTCTCTTTTTCTCCATATACTCTTCCCTCCTTGCATTCTTCTACTTTGTAAAAACTTCTCAATGCTAATTTTTTCTTCCATTATACTCTCTTCACATCATCATTCCACCAATCTCTCCTCTTCCCTCCCGCACCCACTTTCCTGTAACCACAAACTTCTGCTGAACACTCTAACACTACATTTTTAAACCACCCCATACCTCTTCGACCCCATTGCCTATGCTCTCTTTAGCCCATCTATCCTCCAATAGCTGTTTATATTATCTTACCTAACTGCTCCTCTTTTAGTTTATAAACCTTTACCTCTCTCTCCCTGATGCTTCTATTCCCCTTGTATCCCATCTCCCTTTTTACTCTCAGTGTAGCTCCCAACTAGAAAGTGATCTGATAAACTGTGGCCCCCCTATAAACATGTACATCCTGAAGTCTACACAACGTCTTTTATCTACCAATACATAATCCAACAAACTACTGTCATTTCGCCCTACATCATATCTTGTATACTTATTTATCCTCTTTTTCTTAAAATATGTATTACCTATAACTAAACCCCTTTCTATACAAAGTTCAATCAAAGGGCTCCCATTATCATTTACACCTGGCCCCCCCAAACTTATTTATTATTTATTTATTTATTTATTTATTAACAATTTGAGCACACATACAGAGGTACAAAAAATAGAGATAAGAGCAGCATGCCAAAGCCACTTATACTATGCATAGCATTACGGGCTGGCTTAAAATTACTTTAGGATTAACTAGTCAATGATGAATCATGATAAAAATTAGTAAAACAGATTACATAAGCACAAGTGAGTATACAAAAGACAGGTCATATGTTCATGCCATTGTTGTACATTCAGCGTATGACATACATTGGGACCCCGGTTAACGAACTATTTTCGTTCCAGTAGTAAGTTCAGGTTGCCAGTACGACCAATTTTCCATAGAATTGTGAAGTAGATTAGTCCATTTCAGACCCCAACATCACGACAAACGATTACATAAAGACACTTCATAATTGGACTGCATTGAGTGTATCGTTAAGCGGGTCCACTGTATTCTGTTAGGTAGTGTATTTAAAAAAATAATAAAGTTAGATTCGGTTTTAGGTTTACATTTATGTGATATAATTGTGAGAAACATTTAAGATATACAATTTATAAGGTTCAGTTATTCAGTATTTATTTGGTTTTGGGTGAGTAAAGTGATCTTTGAGAAGAGACTTGAATTTATAAACAGGTAGTTTCTTTTATATTTACAGGTAATGAATTCCAGATTTTAGGGCCTTTTTGTGCATTGAGTTTTTGCATAGTGTGAGATGGACACGAGGAACATCAAAGAGTGATCTGTGCCTTGTGTTATGGTCATGTGTTCTGTTGAGGTTGGCAAGGAGATGTTTGAGGGGAGGGTTAATATCAGAGTTTAGTGTTCTATGTATGTAATAGGTGCAGTAATAAGTATGGATGTTTTGTATGGTGAGTAGGTTTAGTGTATTGAATATTGGGAGTGTGCTGCCTGTAGTGAGAATTTGTTGTTATTCTAACTGCAGCCTTTTGTTGGGTAATTAGTGGTCTGAGATGGTTAATTGTTGTTAAGCCCCATGCACAAATTCCATAGGTGAGATAGGGGTAAATAAGAGTGATATAGGGCCAGGAGGGCTGACTGTGGAACATAGTACGTATCTTCGATAGTATGCCTACAGTCTTGGAAATTTTCTTAGAAATTTGTTGTATATGTGTATGAAATTTGAGTCTATTATCAAGGTGGATGCCTAAGAATTTTCCCTCTGTTAGCTTTGTGATAGGTGATCCGTTTATCATTATCTGTAGCTCTGTTACCAAACTGAATGAAGTAGGTTTTGTCAATGTTTAGTGTAAGTTGTTAGTCCTCATCCAGTAGAATAGTATCTGTAATTCGGTATTTACAGTATGGCAGGCGTTGACTGGGCTCGGTAGAAATTTGAACGTATGTGTGTCATCTGCAATAGGTGTGGGTTTGGAGTAATTGCGAAGAATTTGGTTGAGTCATTAATTTGTAAGAGAAATGAGAAGAGGGGCCAAGGACACTTCCCTGTGGGACACCAACTGTAATTGGTTGCGCAGAAGAGTTTGCCCCATTTGCGTACACATATTGGCTTCTGTTGCTGAGGTATGACTTGAGGTAGTTGAGGGAGTGCCCTCTTATACCATAGTGTGACAATTTTACGTGGAGCAAGTCATGGTCAACGTATCAAAAGCTTTACGTAAGTCAATGAAGATCCCCAGTGGGACTTCTTTTTTCTCTATTGCAGTGTATATATGTTCTAGCATGTGTAATAATAGCATCATTAGTATTTTTATTAGGCCTGAATCCAAATTGGCAGGGGTTGAGTATGTTTTGGGAGATAAGGTAGGAGTAGATTCGTTTATGAATTAATTTTTCGAAGATTTTGAGAGAGGGTGTAAGTTGGATATTGGCCTATAGTTATTCAACTCTGTTTGGTCTCCTCCTTTGTGGATCGGGGTGACCCTTGCTATTTTGAGTACTGTAGGGAAGGTGGAGGATTCAATGGATTTGTTAAAGAGTGTTGCAATGATTGGTGATAGCACTTGACACTTTTTTGTATATAAAGGGTGGAAGGTATTTAAATTCCCCTCCCTTGTTTTTGTCGTTGATAATAAGGGAGACTTGATGGTTAGTCGGAGCTGGGAACAGTGTGTTCGGGTAGTTGCCGGTGAGGTGTCTTTTAGTGGGGTTTTTGAGCTTGGGATTTTTTTGGGGCAAGGTTTTTCCTATAGTGGAGAAGAAATCATTGAGTCTGTTTGCTGTTTCGTGGGGGGATTTGGGGGTTATTGATTTTGCTAATTTTATTTCACATTTCTGATATCTTTTTTTTCCCAAAAATTTCGATAGGGTTTTCCAGGTTTTTTTAATCACCTCGAATTTGGGATAATCTGTTTCAAAATAAAATTTTTTTCCCCTCTTTTCAGGCGGTTAGGTTTGAGAGTAACTTTTTTTGTTTGGTCTCTGGTTTGTGACCCATTCTGTACTTCCACCACACCCTTCAAAAATTTTCTCCTATTTTTCTTCAGGTCCCCTACCACAATTACTTCTCCTTGGGTTCAAAGCCCCCTTACATTCATTAACATCTCCAAAATCTTCTCTCTCCTCTGATTTTCTCTCTTTCCCGGGTGCATACACCTTATTTGCCCATTCTCGCATCCAAACCCTTTATTTTAATCCACAAAATTCTTGAATTTACACTTATATTTTTTTTTCTCCTTCCATAATGTCATTCAACTTTACGCTACCCCTTCCCTTTTGCTTAACCCCTTCAATCTCCCGATTTTAAACCCATTTATTTCCCCCCCACCGAAACTCCCTAACCCCCCCGAGCTTTGTTTGTTAGGGCCAGGGGAATCCAAAATTTTTTTCTTCATAACCAAATCTCTGTTTCTTGTCATCCGCATACATCCCCGCACATTTAAACATCCCAGTTTTATAAAGTTTTTTCTCTTCCTTTTTTAGAAATGTCTATAGGAAAGGGGGTTCAGCCCATTGCTCCTGGATTTTTGTCGCCTCATACACCCATGGGTTACGGAGGAAAGTTTTTTTTCCCCCTTCCCATGGGCAATAAAGAAATAAAGAGGAACAAGAGGGATTTGAAAAAAGGAGAAAAACCTAGATGTATGTATATATACATGCATGTGCGTGTCTGTGAAGTGTGACCAAAGTGTAAGTAGGAGTAGCAAGATATCCCTGTTATCTACGGTTTTGAGACAGAAAAAAACCCGCAATTACCACATGCAAAAAATGTAATTATCAAAAAAAAATTATATAAAATAATATGAAAAATAGAAAAAAAGGTATATCGGCAACACTTCTGCAAGCAGCAGGACTCCAATGTTGCTGTCACATGAGTATCCAGTGCCAACTTCTCTGCCTCATATCTCTGTAAGTACTGACCCTAATTTTTTTTTATTCTAAAACACACAAAAAATGTGCTCTTTTTTCTATAATTTTTTTGTTTTTTTCAAAATATTCGGGGCGCTGCACGAGTGAACGTATATATACGTTTGGACTGTTTAAGGGTTAAATACAGATTAGTCGGCTATATAAGTGTGTGAGAGTTGCACCTGCCTAGCATGGGCCAATAGACCTACTACAGTGTTTTATCATTCTTAAGCTATTATATTAGCAAATATGATGAAAGGAGGGACTGACCTTGTTCTGCAGATGAGTGTATACTGACCAAATCAGCTTTATCATCCAAGGCTTTACAAGATGACCGAGCAGATGTGAAGTTCATCTTGTCTTTAAAGGATTTTATGCATTTTCTACCTGAAAATATACAGAACATGTTAAAAAGTAGGCATCAAGTTAGCCACTTGACCTCCACTTTCGAATTAAATGAACTGCAATGAAATACACCATTGTGAAATGAAATACACATTAATTATCCCAATATGAATAACAGAAAGCTGTTAAAATAAAATTGTTTCAATTATTATTATTATTTTTGTCATTATTATTTTAATAATTAATGTATCTTCCAAGACGTACAGTGGATACCCAAAACCATGGATAGTAGCAAATTTATATATAAATAATATTTCATTTAAATACATACATACCTATCACAGTTTAATTGATAAATTATGCACAATAAGTCAAGAATTAGCACTTTTTCACTTATGTGAAGCATTCATGGTTTCTCTTATGCTTCAAAGAATTGCATCATCACTACATTTGTGCTTTTGGAGTAATTATTACACAAAATTTGGGCCACAGTAAACTGTGGATAACTGAAACTGCAGAAATGAAATCTATGGATATGGGGGCTCTAATGTATACTGATGTAGCACCTGGAGAATGGGAGATAATTAGGGATGATCTGAGAAAGGAGAGGGCAGCTCCAATTCCTTTGATTAAGAGTGTGAGTGTTTAAAATCAAAAGTATTTTGTACAACAGTATTGTACAGGATTTATCTCCTACTTAAGAAAAGACTGTGGAGAAAAATTATATATTATTATATTCAAGGGGAAGCACTAAGCCCATAGGGAATCAAGGTTATCAGGATGTGTATAACAAATTTATGTGAGTGGACACCAAGACTATATGAATCTTAAGTATGCCCAATATGTTTTCTTTAACGATGAGTTTTACTAAGTACAGGAGGGCACCACTTGTATAGTGGGTTAGTTTCCAGGCTACCACCGTACAGCGAAAATTACTGTAAAGCAAATCATTCTTTTTTTCATTTATTAATGCATATAAAGTGTAATAATACTGTACTATAATAGTGTTGGCAGAATTTCCGATAACATGTTAGGTAAAAGGGCACAACTGCAACTAATGTGACATTTTATTGTGGCAACGTTTCACTCTCCAGGAGCTTTGCCATGCTGTAATGGCTTGACAGAGTTCCTGGAGAGCGAAACATTGCCATAATAAAATGTCATATTAGTTGCACTTGTGTCCTTTTACCTAACATAAATGCCTGATAACATGTTTACACTATCATATATTAAGTTAGAAATAGTACTAAGCATAAAAACAACAAGAAAAGTAAAATGCACATACAGTATACTCATTACTTACCATAAAATATTTGTAGTCTTAACGCAGGGTGAGAGGTCAGTAGTATTTATTATAGGATGTCAGGTGTGGCAGCCCACCTGGCTACCACACCTCACAATTATGTCTATTTGTTTTACAGTTATTGTATATATTGTGTGTATATGATAGGTAGCATATTCCTCATATAATGTTGCAAGAACTGTCATAGATGGATTAATGAAAATGTCTATATTAATGTCATATAAAACATTTAAAGTGCCCTAGAGCGATTATTATTATGGTATCTTCAACACTAGTGAGATATTCTTAGTGATTTTAATGTGTACCTGCATGCCAACACAGTGTGTAAGTTTATTTAGGTACATGTACACATAAGTACAATTATCAGAGTATATATAAAATATGTGTAGGTAGTAGGTTGGTAGACAGCAACCGCCCAGGGAGGTACTACCGTCCTGCCAAGTGAGTGTAAAACGAAAGCCTGTAATTGTTTTACATGATGGTAGGATTGCTGGTGTCCTTTTTTCTGTCTCATGAACATGCAAGATTTCAGGTACGTCTTGCTACTTCTACTTACACTTAGGTCACACTACACATACATGTACAAGCACATATATACACACCCCTCTGGGTTTTCTTCTATTTTCTTTCTAGTTCTTATTCTTGTTTATTTCCTCTTATCTCCATGGGGAAGTGGAACAGAATTCTTCCTCCGTAAGCCATGCGTGTTGTAAGAGGCGACTAAAATGCCGGGAGCAAGGGGCTAGTAACCTCTTCTCCTGTATATATTACTAAATGTAAAAGGAGAAACTTTCGTTTTTCCTTTTGGGCCACCCCGCCTCGGTGGGATACGGCCGGTGTGTTGAAAGAAAGAAGAATATATAAATATGTGTAGGTAGTAGGTTGGTAGACAGCAACCGCCCAGGGAGGTACTACCGTCCTGCCAAGTGAGTGTAAAACGAAAGCCTGTAATTGTTTTACATGATGGTAGGATTGCTGGTGTTTTTTGTCTGTCTCATAAATATGCAAGATTACAGGTAAGTCTTGCTACTTCTACTTACACTTAGGTCACACTACACATACATGTACAAGCATATGTATACACACCCCTCTGGGTTTTCTTCTATTTTCTTACTAGCTCTTGTTCTTGTTTATTTCCTCTTATCTCCATGGGAAGTGGAACAGAATTCTTCCTCCGTAAGCCTATGCTAGTTGTAAGAGGCGACTAAAATGCCAGGAGCAAGGGCCTAATAACCCCTTCTCCTGTATAATTACTAAATGTGAAAGGAGAAACTTTGTTTTTCTTTTGGGCCACCCTGCCTTGGTGGGATACGGCCGATTGTTGAAAGAAAAAGTCACATAGTACAATTATCAATATACTATAAAAATGTGTAGTAGTATTGGTAGACAGCAAACTGCCCAGGAGGTCTACACAGTCTGCAAGTGAGTGTAAAACGCAAAGCTGTGAATTGTATTAACATGATTGGGTAGATTGCTGGTGTCTTTTTTCTGTCTCATGAACAGCAAGATTTCAGTACGTCGTGCTCTATCTACTTACACTTAGGTCACACTACACATACTACAAGCACATATATACACACCCCTCTGGGTTTTCTTCTATTTTCTTTCTAGTTCTTATTCTTGTTTATTTCCTCTTATCTCCATGGGGAAGTGGAACAGAATTCTTCCTCCGTAAGCCATGCGTGTTGTAAGAGGCGACTAAAATGCCGGGAGCAAGGGGCTAGTAACCTCTTCTCCTGTATATATTACTAAATGTAAAAGGAGAAACTTTCGTTTTTCCTTTTGGGCCACCCCGCCTCGGTGGGATACGGCCGGTGTGTTGAAAGAAAGAAGAATATAAAATATGTGTAGGTAGTAGGTTGGTAGACAGCAACCGCCCAGGGAGGTACTACCGTCCTGCCAAGTGAGTGTAAAACGAAAGCCTGTAATTGTTTTACATGATGGTAGGATTGCTGGTGTTTTTTGTCTGTCTCATAAATATGCAAGATTACAGGTAAGTCTTGCTACTTCTACTTACACTTAGGTCACACTACACATACATGTACAAGCATATATATACACACCCCTCTGGGTTTTCTTCTATTTTCTTTCTAGTTCTTCTTGTTTATTTCCTCTTATCTCCATGGAGAAGTGGAACAGAATTCTTCCTCCGTAAGCCATGCATGTAGTAACAGGCGACTAAAATGCCAGGAGCAAGGGCCTAATAACCCCTTCTCCTGTATAAATTACTAAATTTAAAAAGAGAAACTTTCGTTTTTCTTTTTGGGCCACCCTGCCTTGGTGGGATACGGCTGGTTTGTTGAAAAAAAAAATATATAAAATATGCAATAACTTTAAAACACTTCAAATTTTGGCAAGTTTCTAAACATAATCAAGAGATGTGCTCATGGAGGATCTACACAAAGTGGTGCATGGATGCCATAATAGCAAATCAGGGAGTCATATAAAGGAATTGTTGGTTACAATTTGAAATGTCTGTATTAGCGAATTGCCATAAAGCAAAGTGCCGTAAAGTGGGACCCTAATGTATATGTATCCCTAAGTCATGCAATCTCTTATACTATACATATATGTCATCTTGGTAAATAAATTTATTGTCAATTGTCTATTTAACCCAAAAATAAAATTGCTCTCAATATCCAAGTTAAAAACAAAAATCTTATAAATTAAAAGAGTTCATTTTCCAGGTGATAATAAAAGAGAAAAAAAAATTCCCAGAAGTACTTGCCAAGATATAGACGCATGAAGTTAAAAGTCAATGATCCACTGACAGCATCACTGGTGACTGCTGTGTGCTCCACAAGTTTCTACTTTATTATTTTGTACTTTTTTCTGGGGTTCTAATTTTTTAGATTCTGTGTAATTTTCATGGCCTATGAGACCCAAATCATGCACGATGTACGTTGTATATCCACCAGTTGTTTATAATGCAATTCCTACACTAATAGTGTCATCAGTATGTATACTGTTTACAAAACCAGTTTACACAATGTAAACACACACACATACAAATGTTTCACATATAACTATTGTGTACCTATATACAGGCAATAGTCATCTATCTAGAGCTGCTGCAGTCTGTGAAAGTCCTTGAAATGCTTTTCAATATACAGTAGTGTTTCATACATCTCTACACATACAACATGTGTGTCTGAACTTTGCTGTTCACCTCGTTGTGTGTGCACAGACATAACTTCTCTTTTGAGCCCATTTCTTTTCTACAGGAAGAAGTGTTGTTAGGATGTAATCACCAAGCTTCAGATGAGAGGGTATTCAAGGATCATCTCATAGTGATATTTTCAGTGCCCTGAGAACCAGTAATGGTCATTATATGTTCAACATCAAGAATTAATCGCCGGTTCAATAATTATCATTGTTGCAACTGTCAATGGGGAACAAAACTCGTTCAATCTGCTTGGGAGAGAGGCCTTTGCATCTGCACTGCATGGTGAACAAGGTGTACCCAATACAGCCTTTCCTCGCTTAACGACAGAGTTCCGTTCCTAAGACCACATCAGTAAACAAATTCGTCGCTAACCAAGGAGCACATTATAATGGTAGTGGGTTTGTGTCAACCATCTTTGATATTATTTTAATGTCACCATTTATAACATTTTGAATATATTTTTAAATGTTTATACAGTAGTGTACTATATATTGTTGTAAAGAGAGTAGAGGAAATCAGCTGCAATATACATTATTTAGGTATGCATACTGGTCAGAGAGCCTGTTGTCAGTCCGAGTCGTCCGTAAACGAGTACATCACTAAGTGAGGAGAGGCTGTATAGCATTCCTATAATGCAAAGTGGGGGCCCTGATTTTTTGTATACTCCACAGACTGACTGCAAAGACTCATTTTCTCATATGTACACCTACCAGGCCTCTCCTGCCAAATTTGAAGCTGCTAGAATTTATGCATAGGTCTATGTAAGGGACTCTGGCTTCAATGACGTAGTTCTATGTGACGGCCACTGAAAGAGATAACTTGTTGTCTGAAGTAAATGCAACTAAGGAGGTTAAAGAAAATACATTATTGATTGTATAACTGCTGCAATGAAAAAAAATTCCTATATGAAGAATATGAGCCTGCAGCATGACAAGACTTGAGATAAGTAAGACACATGTACAAACGTTCGTTATCTGTCGTTTCCTTCGTACTGTGATGGAAGAAGCCTGCTTAACAAGTAAAACTTCCTGCTAATAATGATACCCAACTGCTGCACATCAGTCTTACTAATTTACTTCTTGGTACTGAACATAATGATACTAAGAACATAATGATGGTAAAGCCTCTCACCTGTGTGGAGCCAGCCATCTGGACAATGACCATCAGGAATTTTAGTGGTCTTTGGGGGTGGGAAGGTTTGACCATGCAGCTTCCTACAGATGCATCCCATTGTGTGGGCACAGTTGGCATCATTCCAGTACCCTTGTTGATGGTTGTACATGCTTATGCAGTCTTCTTGGTCTGCCACAAGAAATATAAAATTATTACCAGTTCTAATCTAGTTTCATTCTTTGTTTTTGTTTTTTTAACAAGTCGGCCGTCTCCCACCGAGGCAGAGTGACCCAAAAAAGAAAGAAAATCCCCAAAAAGAAAATACTTTCATCATCATTCAACACTTTCACCTCACTCACACATAATCACTGTTTTTGCAGAGGTGCTCAGAACACAACAGTTTAGAAGCATATGCCTATAAAGATACACAACATATCCCTCCAAACTGCTAATATCATTCATATATAAATCTTTTAAATGGAATGTCTTGATAATGGTGAAGAGCTCTTGACCCCCCTCCCCCCAAAATTTGGAACTACCTTCCTTTTCCTTGGGACAAATTTGATTGTCTCCCCTTCCCCAGATGCTGTATGACCCCTATGGATATAGCTCTTCCCTATGAAATAATAATAAGGATAGGTCATCCTCTGGGAAAAAGCAATTAGCAGTCCTTTCTCCTGTATACATTACTAAAGTTAAAAAGAGAAGCTTTTGTTTTTCTTTTTGGGCCACCCTCCTTCGGTGGGATACAGCCAATGCATTGAAAGAAAGAAGTTCATCCTGTAATTGTTTTACATAATGGTAGGAGTGCTGGTGTCTTTATTCTGTTTCATAAACATACAAGATAACAGGCATATCTTGTAGTGGGAGACCTAAATGTTAAGGTGGGTAAAACCATTGTGGAGGGAGTAGTAGGTAAGTTTGGGGTGCCAGGGGTAAATGAAAATTGAACTATGTATAGAAAAAGGTTTGGTAATAAATAACACATTTTTTTTTTTTCAACAAGTCAGCCGTCTCCCACCGAGGCAGGGTGACCCAAAAAAGAAAGAAAATCCCCAAAAAGAAAATACTTTCATCATCATTCAACACTTTCACCTCACTCACACATTATCACTGTTTTTGCATAAGGTACTCAGAATACACATATTTTAAGAAAAAGAGGATAAATAAGTATACAAGATATGATATGGAATGTAATGAAAGTAGTCTGTTGGATTATGTATTAATGGATAAAAGGTTGAGGGGCAGATTTCAGGATATGCATGTTTAAAGAGGGGCAACAGATATATCAGATCATTATTTAGTTGCAGATGCAGTTAAGAGTGAGGTAGATGGGCAAAAAAAAATGGCAACAGCAAGTAAGAGAGAAGTGAAAGTTTATAAACTAATGGAGGAGGAAGTTAGGGTGAGATATAAACAACTACTGGAAGAAAGGTGGGCTAGTGAGAGTATAGGTAGTGTGGGGGTTGAAGAGGGATGGGATAGTTTTAAAAATGCAGTGTTAGAATGCGGGGCAGCAGTTTGTTGTTATAGCAGGGTGGGTGAGGGAGAAAAAGAGAAGTACAGTAATTGGTGGAATGAAGAGGTAAAGGGTGTGATAAAAGAGAAAAAGGTCACTTATGAGAGGTTCTGCAATACAGAAGTGATACAGAGAGTAAAAGAGATGTGAAGAAAGTGGTGAGGGCATGCAGGAGAGCAAATGATGAGACTGGGTGAGATGCTGTTAACCCCTAAACAGTCCAAACACATATATACGTTCTTACCGCTAGTGCCCCAAACGCATATATACGTTTTAATTTTCCTGCCTCCAAATTCGGCGCGATTGGCCTGAGATGCCTGGCCAGCACAGAATGGGTCTTCGCACTCGGTGTGCACCATATTAACCCTTTGAGGGTTTTGGTCGTACTAGTACGTCTTACGCGTAGGGGTTTTTGACGTACTAGTACGCATAAATTCTAGCGGCCTCAAATCTAGTGGGAGAAAGCTGGTAGGCCTTCATATGAAAGAATGGATCTATGTGGTCAGTGTGCACAGTCTAAAAAAAATCCTGCAGCACACAGTGCATAATGAAAAAAAAAAAAACTTTGACCATTTTTTTTGGAATAAATCAGTGACTTTGCAGTGTATTTTCGTATGGTATTTATTGTTGTATTCTAGTTTTCTTGGTCTCATTTTATAGAATGGAAGACATATTACAGAAATTGAGATGATTTTGACTGGTTTTACAAAGAAAGGTGCCTTGAAATTGAGCTCAAAGTAGCAGAAATGTTCGATTTTTACCAAACTTCAAAAGTAAACAAATCGTGCCAAGCGTGCAATACACGTCAACTGGTGAGTCTAATATTCTTTCACAAGTGCACCAATAATATTTATACCATTTTTTACACTAATGCAGTAGTCTGCATAACAGTAAATCTTATATTTTTTGTGAGAATAAAAATTCAAAGTGGAAAGCAAAAGAATATAAGAGGGGCCTTGAGACGTGACTAATGACTAGAGGAAATGTCATTTTAGTGCCAGGGAATGTCTTTCTTGTTTATTCTGGACCCTATTCGGAAATTGGCATCTTTTGAAATTTGTGTGAAATTGGCAAAATTGCTAAATTCTGACCACTGTACTGGATAGTTGAATTTCATAAATGGGTGGTTTCTTGCACCCATTCGATAGAAAAAAATGGAGTTCTAGCGAAATATTCATGTTTTTTGTCGACTAGTACAGTGAAATTGGCCGAAAATGGGGCTCAAAGTGGGCAAAATCGCCGATGCGTAAACATCGCCAAGACCGCTAACTTTGCGAGAGCATAATTCCGTAAGTTTTCTATCAAATTTCAAACTTTTGGTGTCTTTATGATCGGGAAAAGATTCTCTATCTTTTCATAGGAGAAAATAATTTTTTTTTTTTTTAAATTTGGCTGACCCTGAGAACGAGTTTCAGAGAGGGCCTGTCGACCCTCAAAGGGTTAAAGAAATCTGGGACCACTTAGTACCTTGGGGGAGCACCAGTTAAATTGAGTGCCAACTCGAGCAAACAGTGCGGCAAACACCAAGGATTCACTTAAGTAATGTCATATTAACACTCCCCTTTTAAGAGGAAAGTGATGTTAGCCCCAAGTTTAGGGTCTGTCTATCTCTGTCTATTTATCTCTGTCTATCTCTGTTTGTTCTGTCTATCTGTCTCTATCTCTTTTTATCTGTCTCACAGGTACACACAAATACAATTATACTTCTTCCTTCTTCCTCCTCCTTCTTCCTTCTTCTTCTTCTATACTCCCGTGTATTCAAAACATTGCTGGGACCTATAAATACTTGTATATATTTCTAGACAATAGTAAATGACCAAGACTGGTGTAAATGTCCACCTGCCAATGTGTTTGTGACAATTTGAGTACAATTTCAGTACCTAATACTAGTGTCAGAACAAAGATTGGTTATGAAATGCCAAGAACTACAATAAACTGTCATTATCAGAACATAAAAATCACATAAAATAATATAGAAATGAGAAAAAATGGTATATCGGCAACACTTCCTCAAGCGGCAGGACTCGATGTTGGCATCAGGTGAGCATTAACCCTTTGACTGTCGCAACCCCCAATCCTGAGGTGTCTCCTGGTGTTGCAAAATTTAAAAAAAAAATTATTTTTTCTTATGAAATGATAGAGAATCTTTTCCCGATCGTAATGACACCAAAAAAACGAAATATGATGGAAAACTGACGGAATTATGCTCTCGCGAAGTTAGCGACCTCGGCGCTGTTTACAAATCGGCGATTTTGCCCACTTTGAGCCCTATTTTCGGCTAATTCCATTGTTCCAGTCGCCCAAACTCATAGCTATTTCTTTAGAACTCCATTTTTTCTATCAATTGAGTACAAGAAACTGCCCATTTTTTTTTCTCATTATGCACTGCGTGCTCCAGGATTTTTTTTATATGGTGCACACTGACCACACAGACCCATTCTCTCACAGGTGGGCCTACCAGCTTTCTCCTGCTTGATTTGAAGCTGCTAGAATTCATGAGTATATATACGTCAAACACGGTACCTCGTAAGACGTATATATACGGCCGCGACAGTCAAAGGGTTAAGTGCCAACTTTGCAGCCTCATATCTCAGTAAGTACTAACCCATAATTTTTTTTATTTTAATCCTAACAACACTTAGAAATTTTTTCTCTTTATTTCAATAAAAAAAAAGTTTTTTTGCTTTTCAAAATATTTGGGGCACTGGGGGACAGAATGTATATATACGTTTGGACCATTTAGGGGTTAACAAATTTTGCTGAGAGATAAACTGGTTAAGAATGTCTAGGGAAGAAATGGATTTGACGGTTAACCTTTTCAGGGTCGGATCCCCTGCTCTCAAACTTGCTCTCAGGATTGAAAAAAAAAAAAATTATTTTTTCATATGAAATGGTAGAGAATCTTTTTCCAAAAGTAACAAAACAAAAAGTACCAAATTTGATGAAAAACCAACGAAATTACACTTTTGTGAATTTTGCTGTGTCAGTAATATTTATGCATCAGTGATTTTGCCCACTTTGAGTCTGATTTTAGGACAATTACATTACAATTATCACGGTGCCCCGTGGCCTGGTGGCTAAAGCTCTTGCTTCACATGGTGAGAGTCCGGGTTCAGTTCCTGGCGAGGGTAGAAACATTGGACATGTTTCCTTACACCGGTTGTCTATGTTCACCAATCAGTAAAATGGGTACCTGGGTGTTAGACGACTGGTGTGGGTCACACCCTGGGACAAAACTGACCTAATTTGTTCGGAATGCTCTGCATAACAAGTGGCTTTCTGTATAGTAGTATGTCATTGATGTCAGCTATGGTCTGTATACCTTGTGCAAGTACATGTACTTGCAAAAATAAAGATATTATATTATTATTATTATTAATATTATTATTATTATTATTATTATTCCAGCCAATCAAATTCTTAGCTATTTTGCTAGTATGCCTTCCATTCTACTGAGTACAAGAAACTGCCCATTCAGCTATTTCAAGTACCCAATAAAGTCATCAGAAATTGGTAATTTGGCCAATTTCACACAAAATTCAAGAAATGCCAATTTCAAAATAGGGTCCAAAAGAAACAATGCAGACATTCCTGGTACTAAAATAATATTTCCTCTGTTCATTAGTTATGTCCATTTAGAATATTTTTGTACACAAAAAAAAAAAAAATAGAAAATTTACAGTTAAGAAGATTAGTGCATTACTGTAATAATAACTGTGTAATAACTGTGTAAATAATGTCCCTGCATTCCTAAAAGTATATTAGACTAGACAGATGGACATGTATTGGAAGAGTAACGTCATTTGTGTACTCTGGAATAATGGCAAAAATCGAACATTTCCGCTACTTTGAGCTCAATTTCAAGCTACTTTCAGTTTTGAAACCAATCAAAATCGTCTCTATTTCTGTAACATATCTTTCATTCTATCAAATAAAACCAAGAAACCAACAATACATCCAGAAAAAACATATGAAAATACCCTGCAAACATGCTGTTTTAAACCAAAAACAGTCACAGTTTTTTTTCCCATCATGCACTGCTCCCTACAGGATTTTTTTATATAGTGCATACCTACCACACAGACCCATTCTCTCATCTCTAGGCTGAAATTTACCGGTCATAGCTTATCTGAGTGAGCTGAGTTCATGGCGTAGAACTACGGGATCAACCTTGGCATCAAAGCAGTAGTACTATGGGACCGACACTTAAAGGATTTAAAACAGAAAAGGGGTGTTAGCAGATGGGGAGTTGAAGGTATTGGGAAGATGGCTGAAATATTTTAAGGAAATGTTAAATATTAATGAAGAGAGGGAGGCAGTAATTTTATGCACTGGCCAGGGAGATATAACATCTTTTAGGAGTGAAGAAAAGCTGGATGTAAGTGTAGGGAAGATGTGTGAGGCATTAGGTAGAATGAAAGGGGGTAAATCAGCTGGAACTGATAGGATCATGACAGAAATGTTAAAAGCAGGTGGTGATACAGTTTTGGAGTGGTTGGTACTTTTGTTCAATAAATGTATGAAGGAAGGGAAGGCCAGAGATAGGCAGAAAACGTGTATAGTTCCTTTATATAAAGGGAAGGCAGGTCCATCTGCAATCCAACCCTTCTCACTCATAACTAGTAGAGGACAAACGAAGTTTTAGAATGGGTATGTATGTTATGTGTAGACCAAGTGTTAACACTGAATCATGTAAGTGAACAATATTTAGATAAAGGTAGGGAAATTTTCATTTTCATTTATGGATTTAGAAAAGGCATATGCCTGGGTAGACAGGGAAGCAATGTGGCAGATATTGCAAGAGTATGGAATGGGCAGTAAGTTATTAAATGCTGTAAAGAGTTTTCATGTGGATAATGAGGCTCAGGTTAGGGTGTGTAGGAGAGAGAGAGATTACTTTCCAGTAAAAGTAGGCTTTAAACAGGAATGTGTAATGTCATCATGGTTGTTTAACATATTTATTGATGGGGTTGTAAACAAGTAAATGGTTGGGTGTTGGGGAGAGGGGTGGGATTAAATTATGGGGAATCAAATACACAAAATGGGAGTTGACACAGTTACTATTTGTTGATGATACTGTGCTTTTGGGAGATTCTAAAGAGAAGCTGCAAAGGTTAGTGGACGAGTTTGGGAGGATGTGTAAAGGAAGAAAGTTGAAAGTGAACATAGATTAGTTTAAGGCGATGAGGGTACCAAACGAGTTAGGTAAAGAAAAATTGAATGTCACATTGGAGGGAGGGATATGGAAGAAGTGAATGTGTTCAGATATTTGAGAGTAGACTTGTCAGTGGATGGGTTTATGAAAGTCAAGGTAAACCATAGAATTTATGAAGGAAAAAAGATGAGTGGTGCATTGAGGTATCTGTGGAGACAAAGAACATTAACCATGAGAGTATAGTGGTACCAACACTCTTATATGGATGTGAAGCATGGGTTGTAAATGCTGCTGCAAGAAGGCAGCTGGAGACAATGGAGACATCGTGTCTAAGGGCAATGAGCAGTGTAAATATGCAGAGAAATCATAGTGTGGAAATTAGGAGGTGTGGAGTTAATAAAAGTATTACTCAGAAGCTGAGGAGGGGTTGTTGAGGTGGTTTGGTCATTTAGAGAGGATGGAGCAAAATAGGATGACTTGGAGGGTGTATAAATCTGTAGTGGTAGGGAGGAGGGGTAGGGGTCATCCTAGGACAGGACAGAGGGAGGGGGTAAAGATGGTTATGTGCTGAAGGGGCTTGGACATGCAGCAGACATGTGTGAGCATGTTAGATACTAGTGAATGGAGACAAATGGTGTTTGGGACTTGACGAGCTGTTGGAGTGTGAGCAGGGTAATATTTTGTGAAGGAAATCAGGGAAACTGCTTAGCTTGCTTGAATCCTGGAGGTGGGAAGTACAATGTCTGCACTTTAAAGGAGGTGTTTGGGATATTTGCTGTTTGGAGTGACATCTGAACTGTCATATGTGTGTGCCTCTGCAAAGACAATGATTATGTGTGAATGATGATGAAAGTGTTGAATGATGGTGTGAGTGATTTCTTTCTTTTTTTGGAGCCACCCTGCTGGAAGAAGGCTGGCATGTTGGGAAAAAAAAAGTTCATTCATATACAACTGTTTATGATAATAGTGAGGCATTTATATTATTATTTTTAAATATACCACCTAACTCCCAGAAGTCTGCAGACATTACAATTCAAGTGACTTTCCAAAAAGCAACATCCCTTTCCTTCTTCCATGGTGGAGGCACTGTTTTTTTTTCCTGTTCTCTCTATTGACAACACAGCTTTTGTCTTATTCCACCCAAATCAAAATTCCCTCAACAACATTGTTAATGAGGAACTCTTAAAAATATCAACCTAGATGACTACCAGTAAAGTCATACTTAACACTGATAAAACCTTCTACATGATGTTTGGCAACAGAGCAACAAATGTCCAACTAAACATTGTGATTAGCGATTCTTCTATCGCTAAACAAAATGAAGGAAAATTTCTAGATCTCTTCCTTTACAGCAACTTGAAATTCAAACCCACATCCATCACATTAAAAAAAAAGTCTGTAAACCAGTTGGCATCTCCAAAATAGGTTACTATATACCTGAAACAGCACTACTTACATAATAATACACTCTAATTTATCCCTACCTCACTTACACTATTTGTGCCTGGGGATCCACTACAGCAAATCACCTTAAGCCAATAACAACTCAACAAAAAGCAGCACAAATGATCACTCAATCTACTCCCAGACAACACATTCCCTCACTCTTCGAAGACCTAAACCTACTTACTATTCATAACATTTACTCATAATACTGTGCATACTCCATGTACAGAACAATAATTATAATATCAATCCTGACCTGAAATGCTTTCTTGACAGTTGCAACAGAACTCATAGGCATAATACTTGGCACAAAAATCTCTGACATTCCCCATACCTGGCTCATCTTTGTAAAAACTCAACGTGCATAAAATAACCCAAAATCTGGAACTCCCTTCCTGAAAACTCCAGAGCCTCTCTATCTACCAGCAGTTCAAAGCTATTGTAAAAACCTCTTTCCCTAATATAGCCTAGTAACAATTAAATATATTAAATTTGTTAAAATGTGTTAAATATGCTAAACAATTCTTTAAACCACAAACAAGTTAAAACCTATACGTTCATATTCTCACTACTTGTAATCATAATGCAACTTTAAATAAATAGTTGTCTGCTTGTTCTATTTGTTGTTTAAACAATGTCCAATAATATAAGGAAATAATAATTAAGTTAGACTTAAGCTTGCATGAAATGATCTGCAAAACTATAGGCTTTCTATAAGCACAACTGAATGCCACCCCATCTTTATATATATACTGTATCATGTGGAAATAAATCTTACACTCCTTCAACCCTTAGGTAGGCACCCATGTACACTTGTTAACCCTTTTGGGGCCTAGTTCCTAGGCCTTTTGTGTATCCATATGCTCTTGCACTACCATCCACAGGATAGATATAGGGTGCACAATAAACTAGCCACTTTGGTGGCAACATCTAAATCTAGGCAGGCACCCTCAGAAATGTGTGCCTTGGTAGTCTCCTACTTGTGCTCATACAGTGTGTCTGAAATATACTGCATGGGGCCGATATCATTATAATAGGACCACAGAACAACTCCTTAATTTTAAGCGGTCGTGGGCGGTTGCGCGATGTGCCACCCAAGAAGCTAAATGCACTAGTTAGTAGGAATATGCTTTGACTTTGACCTCTAGGACTCTAGTCAGGCTAACAGGACTCAAGTTATATGAGGAAAATATTGGAAGTAAGTCATGGTGTTCAACTTTATTATGTTCATGTTATACATAGTTAAATCTAATAAATGCTTCATTTACCTAGTGGTCTCTCATGTGGAATGAAATATATTAGTTTTTGTTCCCACTATGTATATACAGAAAAGAGTGGCAGCATACTATTGATATATCAAATTTCACTTATAAAAAGAAAGGTTCTGTAGCAGCCTAGACAGCAAGTCATAACTGCCAATCACCTATGAGTCATAACTGCCTGTCACCAGTGAGTCATTACTGCCAGTCACTAGTGAACCATAACTACCAGTCACCAGTGAGTCATAACTGCCTGTCACCAGTGAGTCATTACTGCCAGTCACTAGTGAACCATAACTACCAGTCACCAGTGAGTCATAACTGCCAGTCACTAGTGAACCATAACTACCAGTCACCAGTGAGTCATAACTACCAGTCACTAGTGAACCATAACTGCCAGTCACCAGTGAGTCATAACTGCCAGTCACTAGTGAACCATAACTACCAGTCACAAGTGAATCATAACTGCCAGTCACCAGTAAGTCATAAGTGCCAGTCACAAGTGAGTTATAACTGCCAGTCACAGCAACAAGCAAGAGTGGCATGAATAACACATGAATTCTACTCACCATACTCATTGTTGGGTTCACCCTTTGCCCAGTTGTCAAAGTCAAAGGCAGTTTCATCAATCCACATGTACCCAGAGTCAAGACTAGCTTGGCCTCCAATCCAGAACATATTATCAGACATATTGTAGATCTGAAAAACATGATAGTCACCTCTTTCATAAAGCTCTTTATTTGGTTCAATTTTTCATAAATGTGATTCAAAAGTGAATGGAAAATTGAATAGCATGTTATGAGGCCTTTCCATGTGCTATTTAAGTTTTGTATGAATTTTATCAACAATATTTACAAAAACTGTTCTATATAGAAATTATATAACTGTATTACTGGTGGATAAAAGGTTGATGGGTAGGCTCCAGGATGTACATGTTTATAGAGGGGCAACTGATATATCGGATCATTATTTAGTTGTAGCTACAGTTAGAGTAAGAGGTAGATGGGAAAAGAGGAAGGTGGCAACAACAAGTAAGAGGGTGGTGAAAGTGTATAAACTAAGGGAGGAGGAAGTTCGGGTGAGATATAAGCGACTATTGGCAGAAAGGTGGGCTAGTGCAAAGATGAGTAGTGGGGGGGGGGGGGGGTTGAAGAGGGTTGGAATAGTTTTAAAAATGCAGTATTAGAATGTGGGGCAGAAGTTTGTGGTTATAGGAGGGTTGGGGCAGGAGGAAGAGGAGTGATTGGTGGAATGATGAAGTAAAGGGTGTGATAAAAGAGAAAAAGGTAGCTTACGAGAGGTTTTTACAAAGCAGAAGTGTTATAAGAAGAGCAGAGTATATGGAGAAGTAAAAGAAAGTGAAGAGAGTGGTGAGAGAGTGCAAAAGGAGAGCAGATGAAAGAGTGGGAGAGGCACTGTCAAGAAATTTTAATGAAAATAAGAAAAATTTTTGGAGGAGTTAAACAAGTTAAGAAAGTCTAGGGAAAGTATGGATTTGTCATTTAAAAAAAACGAGTGGGGAGTTAGTAGATGGGGAAGGAGGTTTTTGTAGATGGCAAGAATATTTTGGGGAAATTTTTTAAATGTTGGGAAAAAAGGGGGAGGCGGAAATTTTCTCATGGCCGGGGAGGTATCCCCTCTTTTAGGAGGGAAAAGAGCAGAATGAAAGTTTTGGGGGAGGTACGTGAGGCATTACGTAGAATAAAGGGGGGGTAAAGCAGCGGGAATGATGGGATCTGACAGAAATTTTAAAAAGCAGGGGGATATATGTTGGAGGGTTTGGGTACTTTTGTTTAATAAATGTATGAAAGAGGGAAGGTACCTAGGGAGGCAGAGAGCATGTATAGCCCTTTATAAAAAGGGAAAGGGGACAAAAGAGATTGTAAAATTATAGGGGAATAAGTTTACTGAGTAACCAAAGTTATGGTAGGGTTAAAATTAAAAGAATTAGGGGGTAAACAAAATGTAGGATTGAGTGGGGCAGGGGGGTTAAAGAGGGGTAGGGGATGTGTAGACAAGTGTTTCATTGAAGCATATATGTGAACGTATTTAGATAAAGGTAGGAATTTTTTTATTGCATTTATGGATTTAAAAAAGGTATATGAAGAGGGATAGAGGAGAATGTGACAGATGTTGCAAGTATAGGGAAATAGTGGTAAGTTCTAAATGCTGTAAAAGCTTTTTGAGGATAGTGAGGCCAGTTGGGGTGTGAAAGAGGGGGAAATACTTCCGTAAAGTAGGGCTTAGACAGGGTGTTAATTTTCCCATGGTTTTTTAAATATTTTAAATGGGGTTGTAAAGAAGAAATGCTAGGGTGTTTTGGGGAGGGGTGGGATTTTAAATTTTTGGGGGAAACAAATTCAAAAAGGGAATTGCACATTACTTTTTTTTCTGATGAACTGTGCTTATGGGAGTTCAAAAAAAAAAAATTTCAAAGTTAGTGGATGAGTTGGGAATGTGTGTAAAGGTAGAAAGTTTAAAATGAACAAAGAAAAAAGTAAGGGAGAGGGATCAAATGATTTTAAAAAAGAAAAATTGGATATCAAATTGGGGGGGGAGTATGGAAAAGTGAATTTTTCAGATACTTGGGAGTTGACATGTCGGGCGGATAGATTTTGAAGGGTGAGGGTTTAAACAAGAATGAGAGGGGAAAAAAGGTGAGTGGTGCGTTGAGGATATGTGGGGTCAAAAAAAAAGTTTTTTTGGAGGCAAAGAAGGGGAAAGTATGAAAGTATAGTAGTACCAAAACTCTTTTATGGGTTGAAGCTTGGGTGGTAAATGCAAGAAGAAGTAGTAGTTGAAATCCCCTTTTTTTTTTATCCCCTAGAATACAGGTGGATAGATACAAAAAAATATACCTTGGAAAAACCCAGAGGGCTAGTCCCCAAATGGCAAAATAAAATCATTCCCTAGAAAGCAAAAAACTTGGCATGGGGTAAAAACAACCCCAAAGAAAAGCAGAGGTGCCACAAATACACATAAGGGGGGTTACCAAAAGACCCCTGGGGTGATTCAAGAAGGCACTGGCGGCCCTAAAGCCAGTACCTACCTGCCAGACTGTGGCTCGTATGTTGGTGTTTTTGTGGCCAGCAAACACCCCTGGTTGACAGGCCCTGACCCCCAAACGGGGCCGGGTCAGGACGGGGGCTGCAGGGGCATTGACCCAGGTATTCTCCAGGTACAACCCCGTCTCTCACCACTGCTTACAGCCCATTCACACACAATTTTTTTCTCAACATGAAAAAGGAAAACAAAGGTAGTGGTTGGTAGACAATAACCACTCAGGGGGGTACATGACTACCGTCCTGCAAAGGAGTGTGAAACAGAAACCGCTTTGCATTAAAAGGGGGTTTGCTGGTGTCATTTTCTGTCTGAAAAGCAGCAAGATTTCGGGTACATTTTGTACTTCTACCTACATTTTGTCACTTACACATGCATGTAAAAGCATCTATAACACCCCTCCGGGTTTTTACTTCTACATTTTTACAGTTTTGCTCTTTTTATTTCCTCTTTCTCTTGGGGAAGGGGAACAGAATTCTTCCTCGTAATCATGGGGTTCAAAAGAAGCAACTAAAATGTATGCATTACTAAAATGTATGCATTACTAAATTTAAGAAGAGGAAATTTTCATTTTTCTTTTAGGCCATCCTGCCTCAGTGGTATATGGCTGGTTTTTTAAAAGGAAAAAAAGAGAAAAAAAATAACGTCAGTGTGTAGGCCCTTGACAAATTCACAAACATTAAAAAAAATTTCTAACTTTAAGTGATACATCAAATAAACACTAATTTTTAAAAATTTTTTATTGAGGCTCAAAATCAAAGAATTTTTTTTTGTTTTGTGAATATGTATAAAAATAAAAAATAAAAATTTTTATTCTTTGTAAAAGGTTACAATGTGTAATTCAATTTTTGATTTGCTAATACAAAATGCTACTATCATGTCAAGGCATTTCGGGCAAACAAATACATAATATAAAAAACATAAAAATAAAAAATTTTTATCACATTTTGCCAACCCTATATGGGTGACCCCTAAAAAAAAAAAAAAAAAAAAAAAAAAAAACCTACCTGACTCCTTCAATAGCTGTCTCCCAAAGGGGCACACATCATTACTTACAAATTGTTTTTACCTAACTCCCTTTTGATTCAACCCAGTAGATCATCAAAATGTGGATAGATCAAACTCTGCACTTCATTCCTACGAAGATGTAGATTCCCACCAGGTCAGGGTCTTATAGAAAAATTGAATGGTAGCAAAATCCCATGTAAGTACCAGGGGGGATCCTCATCACACAGTTTTTCCGGACCTCTTGTTGGCGGGCTAATGTTGTTACCCTCATTCCTACACCAAATACTAATAAAAATACTAGAAAACAAAACCCCCGCCGGGTGATGTTTTTCATGGAGTGTAAAATACTTATAGTAGTTTCTAAAAAAAAGTGAATGCTAGGGGGAAAAGGTTTTTGGGGAAAAAAAGATAATGAACTTAAAAGTGGGGGGTTGCCAATTCTGAAAATTCTGAAAAGTGCTGCAAAGGGGTTTGGGGAAAGATTTGGGAGGAACATAAAGATATTTGGGTGGACAAAAAGCAGATGGCTCTTTGAAAAAGAAATGAACCACAAAAGGAGGAAGAAAAAAAAAGCAGACAGAGGGTTGAGGTATTCATTTCTGGGAAACAAATAAAAACAAAGTATAGAGAAAATGGGACCAACACGATAGAATTTACAAGAAGCATAGGGGGATGAAAGATAAAATTCAGAGGCAAATAGGGGTTTTTGAGATGCTTTGGACTTTACAGATATGGAGTAGAAACAGGGGTGATCTTAGGGGTATAAAATCCCTTCCCTTCAACCCTTTTTTGGGTTTAAAGTTATAACCCCTTTGGGTGGGTGCCCTACTAGTACGGCTTGCCGCCAGGGGTTTGGGCTGTACTAGTATGCGTAAATTCTAGCGCCTTCAAACTAGCAAGAGAAAACTGGTGGCCTAAATTGAAAGAAAGGGTCTATGTGGGCATTGTTTCACATATAAAAAAAATCCTGCAGCCACAGTGCTAAGGAGAAAAAAAAAAAACCCAACCGGTTTTTGGTTTTTAAAAAAAACTTTTGCGTGTATTTTCGTATGGTATTTTTTTGTTTTTTTTTGTTTTCCTGGGTTTATTTTATGTGGAAAACAATTAAAGAAACTGAGATGATTTTGATTGGTTTCAGCAGAATGTACAATTTTTTCTAAAATTCAAAAGAAAAAAATCATGCCATGCATCCAATACATGTCAACTGAGGTCTAATATTCTTTCACAAGTGCGCTGATATTATTTTTTAAACCATTCTACACTAATGCAGTAGTCGCATAACAGTAAATCTTTTTTTTTGTGAGAATAAAAATTCAAATGGAAAACAAAAGAAATGTAAGAAGGGCCCGGGACATGCTAATGAACAAAAATGTTATTTTTTGTGTCAGGGAAATTCTGTCTTTTTTACTGGCCCTATTTGGAAATTGGCATCTTTTTAAAAATGTGTGAAATTTTTCAAAAAAGCTAATTTTTGACCAGCTATTGGTATTTAAATTGGTAAATGGTGGTTTCTTGTACCATTCGAAGAAAAAGTCAGTTCTAGCGAAATAGTTATGATTTTGTCGCTGGGACTTGGATTTTTGGCCGAAAAAGGGGTTCAAAGTGGGGGAAATCGCCCAAAGCATAAACATCGCGAGACTGCTAATTTTGGAAAGCATAATTTTATAAAGTTTTCCATCAAAATTTTTACTTTTTGGGGTCATTATGATTGGGAAAAAGATTCTCTATCATTCATTAGTTTTTTTTTTTTTTTTTTTTTTAAAAAATTTTTTTGACTCTGAGAAAAAGTTTTGGAAAGGGGCCTCTTACCCGAAAAGGGGGTAAATGGAGGGGGTTTAATTTCAACAAGCATGTATGAGCATGCTAGATAAAGGGGATGGAAATAAATGGTTTTAGGGGTTATACACACTGTTGGAGTGAGAGCACGATAACATTTATGAAGGAATTCAAGGAAACTGGTTAGCCAATTGTGGTTTTGAAGGTGGGAAGTACTGTGCCAGTACTCTGCAGGAGGGGTGGGGATGATGCAGTTTAGAGGGTCAACTGAACTGTGATATCTGAACACTTCTGGCAAAACAACTATTGAATGAATGATAGTGAATACTTTTTTTGTGCATCACCCTACCTTGAGAGACTGCTGATGTGGTAAAAGCAAATGTAAAAATAAAACTTTCATATATGTACTAGCTTTTTCATTTACACAATTTTCACCTCATTATTCCACTCATCTTTCCTTTCCCATTCATGAACCCACACTCTGATAGGACATACTTCAACCTACACCATAACCTTTTCACCTCATTATTTTCTCTCACTCTAGGCATCCTTTCTGTTAAAACAGCTTCTCACACTTCTTACCAACCATCCTTTTCTTCAATTTATTCACTCTCATTTATCTTTGACCAAATGACACCATCCTCCAAATATTCTACCTAACTATACTTTTACTTTAGCTACTGCTGAACAGTTATTAGTCATGAAGACAATAGGTGAAAAGCCAACAAGCAGTGAAAAAGATACAAAACAGCGAGAAACCTTGCTGATACTGTCACTTCGCTTATGAAAGCTGAAGCCATATTTTTTGGCCCAAAAAGTAAACTGAAATGAGTAGATACATGTAATGTTTTGTGTAACAATAACCCATGACAATGGTACCTTCAGTGAAATATCTGGGTATATCCTTTGATCTTTGCATGTCAAAAAAATGGACAGTGAAGAATGTAGTAAAAGAAATGCTAGGTTAAAGTTCTTCTATAGACAAGTACAGTGTCTACCTACTGAAGCTTGCAGGATCCTATGCCTAGCTCTTATATGTTGTAGAATCTAGTTCTTCAAGGAATTCTGCTCTAACAAAAAACTGAAAGACAGGTTACAAATTAGCCAGAATACAATGATGAGATTCCTCCTGGGTTCCAAGAGAGCATAGAGGCTAGGATGAGCAATAACTGGAAATGTTTAATATTACAGATAGAGTCAGGCAGCTGAAACTGAATCATATTTACAAAATTGCTCACAGTATCCAGAATCTCTTGCTGTAAATTTTGTCAAGGTTAGGAACCAAAGCCAGTATGGTACCAGGAAAAGTGAACATGATTTAGTACCTTCAGTTGGTGGCCAGGCCTCAAACACCTACTACACAGCAGTCAGAATGGAATAAACTGCCTGGCTATATCATGGCCAGTCACAGCATAAACCAGTTTAGGAAAAGAACTGAGTGAAGCCACAGAAAAGTTAATGTGATTTCTTGCATAGTTAAAATTCATGTAACTGTTACATTCAAATGATCTTTTATATTTGATACCCATGTAATTCTTTTTCATGTACTATCTGATTGACTCAGTTATTTAAATTTGATTATTCGAACATGTTTTGGCTTTGTTAACACTCATAACGGACTTTTACCATATCTATTAGTTAGGTTGCTGTATCTAACAGTTAAGCTGCTGTATCTAACTGTTAGATCACTGTAACTAATAGGTTGTATCTAATAGTTAGGTTGCTGTATCTAATACAGTGGACCCCCGGTTAACGAACTTTTTTCATTCCAGTAGTATGTTCAGGTGCCAGTACTGACCGAATTTTTTCCCATAAGGAATATTGTGAAGTAGATTAGTCCATTTCAGACCCCCAAACATACACGTACAAAAGCACTTACATAAATACACTTACATAATTGGTCGCATTTGGAGGTGATCGTTAAGCGGGGGTCCACTGTACTTGTAGTTAGGTTACTGTATCTAATGATTAGATTAAAAGGATTCCAATGAAAGCTTTGTCTTACTCTTTCGGTTAAGGTAATTTACATACGTTAGTATGTCAGACAATTATGGAAGAGACTTCTTCAGAAGATGGTTGTTCCAGAGTTGAAATGTCTCAGTTGCTTTTTTTTAAAGAAACATGTACATTAGAAGTCTATCTCTTAACCTTGTATCTACTAGCATTTTTTTTTTTTACCTCACAACCATTTCCCACCTAGACAGGGTGATGCAAAAAAGAAAACACTTTCACCATCAATCATTCAATCTCTGTCTTTCTCTAAGTATGCTGACATCGCATTTCAGATTACACTCTGACTGCAACAGTATACAGTATGGATACTTACACAAATAACCCGCACATAGGAGAGAGGAGCTTATGAAAACGTTTTGGTCTAACTTGGACCATTTACAAAATCACAGTGTGACTTTGTAAATGGTCCAAGTCAGACCAAAATGTCGTCATAAGCTCCTTTCTCCTATGTGTGGGTTATTTATACAGTACGGATATATAATTTTTCTTGAAACATGTATTTCCTATTACCAAATTTGACATAATGTTTGAATCCAGATAATATTCATGAGTTATCAGTTTTACAATTAACAAGTGTATTATGAACTAAGATCTTAATTATCATAAACTATTGCAAATTTTTTTCTGAATAAAATAATCATTTACCTTGAGGGGCCTCACAAATGAAGGGAAAGTAGGCACCACATACACTGTCTGAAAGCTTCATGGTTAACATGTTTGCAGAAACACAGTTCTCCCTCTCATAGTGGTTGTCTGGCTGATCCTCATCCCAGTTCACATAGTCAAATGCTGTTCCATCTGACCATTCAAAACCTGTAAAAATTTAATCCAATCTAAAAGTCCTGTAAACATATACAGTACAAACATATGTTCCATTCTATCCACACACAAATAATTAGCAGGTAGTAGGGGGGGAACACTGTCTCCAGGGAGAACTCTCTAAACTTTTCCATGAATAAGTAAGTAAGTAAGTTTATTCAGGTATACACAAATACAGTTACATAGAATTATCATACATAGCAGCATATGTGTAGAGAACCTAGGATAACCCAAAAAAGTCAGACAGAGTGACTTATTTCCATTGGGGTCCTTTTACCTTATTATTATAATATAAAGGTTATAATATTTTCTTATTATTCTACAATGAAGATAACATCTTATCATCATACTAAAAAGACTATCTACTACACGAGGGTCATTAAGACTATCTACAATACGAGGGTCATTACTAGGAATAAGGTAAAATTTACACGTATGTTAGCTAAAAAATAGAAATCATTCCCTCCCTTTCTGTAGCTACATTCATCAGACACCTTTTGGCACTCTTCTTGAACTGGTTCAAGCTATGACTGGCTTTGACATGTGTGGGCAGTCTGTTCCATTCCTTTATTGCTGTACAATAAAAGGTTTGAACCCTTTGGCCACTGACTGTGGGTACTACAAAGTTGTGCTCTCTCCCCCTAGTACTATGATTGCTTTGGTTCCCAACCTTGACAAAATTGACAGCAAGATATTCTGGACATGGTTTGTGAGCAATTTTATAAACATGATTTAGCTTCGGTTGTTTACTCTGTCTTCAACATTCAGCAAAATCCAACGCTGTAATTCATCCGGGCCCAAACATGTTCTCTTGGTCCCAGCCCCAGGATGAATCTTACGATTTTGTTCTGGTGATTTGCAGTCTATCTTTCAGTTTTTTTTTTCAAGCAGAGTACCAAGAAGAGCAAGCATAATCCATATGGCATTGTATAAGGGCTAGACTAGTGTCCTGCGAGCCTCAGTAGGTAGACACTGTGCTTGTCTATACAGGAACTTCAGTCTGGCATTCGCTTTCTTTACTACACTGTTCCCTATCAATTCTCCTGACATGCATGGGTCAAGGGGATTCCCAAATATTTTACTGATGAAACCAAAGTGATGGGCTCCCATTACATTGAACATTAAAATTATTTACCCTTCTCATTTTTATGTTTCATGCCAAAGAGAATGGCTTCAGTTTTCCCTAGGTGTAATGATAGTTTGTTGTCTACTAACCATTTGCTGCAGGACTCCAGTTCCAGTGTTAAAACATTAGCAATATCTTTTTGGGTCTTTACCTGACACTAACAGAGCACTGTCATCTGCATACAGAAAGGAGTTAGCACTTGACACTGATAGGCATATCATTGACATAACATAAGAATAATAAGGGACCCAGAATACTACCTTGGGGAACTCCACATGTTATCGGCAGGGTTCTGATTCTGTTTTGTTGATTTTGACTATTTGTCTCCTGTTGCTAAGGTAGGACTTAAACCAGTCTACAGAACCTATACCGATAGCTTGAAGTTTATTACATAATATATTGTGGTTGACAGTATCGAAGGCCTTTTGCAGGTCTAAGGTTACCATATCTATGAGGTTCCCCTTTGACATTTCAGTTCTCAGGTAATCCATCAGATTAATAAGGGAGGTGTCGGTTGAGTAGGATCTTCTAAAGCCCGATTGATAGCTATGGAGAATGTTGTTGTCATTAAGGTACTTAACTACTTGAGAATACACGCCCTCTCTAGAATTTTAGATATTATACTGAGTATACTAACAGGCCTATAGTTGCTTACATCAGACCTACTATTTTTCTTGAAGATAGGAGTAACTCTGGCCTCCTTGAACCCCTCCGGTACGGTATTAGTGGTGATTGATAGATTTATTATGTGAGCAATAGGGACTGACAGTTCAGAAGCACCTTCTTTTAGGAACTTAGACGGGTGTTATCAGGGCCTGTGCTCTTAGTTGGGTTTAACCTGCTTAGTTCTTTTTAAATAAAGTCATGAGATACACTTACTAGTTGACAACTGTTTGGGGCTACCCCTTTATTGGTATAGTATGTTTGAAACTTATCAGAGTCTGGGGTTAAAGGTATTTGATGCAGCTGGTAGTTTACTTACTAGTGTTGATGCAACAGATGTGTAGTATGAATTAAAGCAATCTGCCACCTTAGATGTTTCGTGGCATACCTCGTTATCGATAGTGAGTACTATGTTAGACCTATCTACTGGCGTATGGCTATACCCCAACTGTTTTAGTTGTTGCCAGAGCTTTCTGGGGTTATGCTTATACTCTTCAATTTTTGAGCAGTAGTGCTTTGCCTTTGCTCCTTTTATAAGTCTCTGTACTCTGTTCCTCACCCTTTGGAATTCATTTAGTGCTGCAATATCCTGTCTGTTTGCTTTAAATCTTTTTAGCAGCTGGTCTCTGAATTTCATATTATCTAATATCTCAGTATTCATCCAGGGTTCAGTTCTTCGTTTAATCCTAACCTCTTTAACTGGTGCAATATTATCAAGGATGGTAGTGAACATTGTTTTGAATTTTTCCCAGGCATCGTTTACGTCCATGCAACTTGTTATCTCTGTCCAGTCACAATTGTGTAGCCTATTTACCAGTGTTTCTTTACTGTAGTTTCTAGATGACCTCAGTTTTACTGTCCTGTGTAGGCCTATCCTATCCCTAGTGATTTTCCTGGTGCAGTAAATGATGAAATGATCACTAAGACCTGTGGTAATGACGCCTGACTGACTAATGTTCTCAGAGCAGTTACAAAGTATGTGGTCAATTAGGGTGGCTGAGAACTGTGTGATCCGGGTTGGAGTATTAATTTGCTTATACCTTTTGCATAGCCCGTTATTTTGCTGCTGAAAACAGATATTGAAGTCGCCCAGTATTATTGTCTCGCAATTGTTTTCAACTCCGGACAAGACTCTGGAAAAGTCTTTTAAGAACTGGTCCTGGGTAGGAGGGCGGTAACTAGTTCCTACTAAGATGGGTTTGGTCTTAGGAAGCAGCACTTCAAACCATAGAATCTCCAGTTTATTGTTATTTAAATCAGGTCTTGGGTTGTAAGCTAAGTCATTTCTAATGTAGGCACATACTCCACCACCCTTTCTGTTCCTATCTAAGCGTTTTATATTGTAACCATCTATTTTGACCTCGTCGTCAGTCACCGTATCATCCAACCAAGATTCAGAGATGGTTATAACTGCCGCCCTGATTTTGTTAGCTAGAATCCTAATCTCTGCCAATTTAGGAAGAAGTGATCTTGCATTGACATGAATAAAGTGAAGGCCTGTTTTCATAAAACAATCATAATCATCAATATATGGCAATGGGTCATTTGTATTAAAATTAGGTAAATCAATGTCATCACTGCTAAAGGGTAACTGTGCCAAAGTGCATTTGTTACACACAAAATGAATTCTGGCACCGTTGCTATAATTGTACATACATCCATCATGCACCCACCCCTTACACATTTTACATAAGGTGCCTTTTCTGTTTTTCATGCATACTTTAGTACAGTGTATGCACCTGTTTGGTAGTGTTTGAGATAATAATGGCTGTATTGTCTCACATTGACCTATGTATGCATTACATATGGAGTTAAGGTTATCTTTCCTAGCTACTAGACCGTCATTATCGCCGTCATTTATCTGTCTGTTTTGCCTCTGCACATTAGTTTGAGGTCCTGGATTAATTTGGATATCACCACTTAAGAGCGCTACAATAAGAGCTGTGTGCCACTGTTTTTGTTTGGGTATGCGGTGTTGCCATACCTTGCAGCGATAGTGACATTTACTTTTCTGGTAGGATGGCAACTGTTGGGCTTTTACTGTCCAGGGCGCTGTTACTCCATTCACCTTTTCCAGCCCCCATGACTGATTTCTTTCTTCATGGAATTGAAGAAGAAATATAAATATAATTATGGCAGCCTGTACCCCCCTAATGCCTGCCATTTTCACTCTTTGCTCTTTTACTCATATACAATAATATTTATTTCTCTTTTCCAGTCCCTAGTACACTTAGTATCTGCTTTAGCAATCACCACTGAATTACTAGTAAAATTTCCTCTTCAAAACCCTCTTCACTGCTCACTTTTCCCTTAACTTCACAAAACCCTTACAGTTAACCCCTTATTTCACACTCCCCTTCCTATCTCACTTCACAGTCTGGCTTCCCCAATTAACTTCTAACTCCTTTCCATTCTGGTAGATCAGAAAGGTTTAATCCATGGTTTTATCCTTCCAAATCCCCCTCAATTCCATTTATCGGGGGTTGTGTGGTGTTGTTGACTGCCTGACCTGTTCTGCTGACTCAGCCATTTTTAAAACACTGAGGGGAGTAACGCCACCTACAACCTGACTTTCCTTGAGTTTATAGTTATATTTGGTGTTTTCTGCTATGATTCTCTCACTGTACACTGGTCAGCTGAATATAGGTCAGCTACTAAAACATTAACCTTGACTGTTTAACTATTCACTTCTTTCTCACGACTGGCACTGAGGGATATCCGACCTATAACCTTGGAGTTTTTTTACTGTTGATTTGACGATGTCTCCTGTGTTTCCCTCTCGTTAGCACTGGTACAGGCGATATGATGGTGGTACAGATATGATGGTACTGTCAACAGATGAACGTCAGTAAAGATGAGAATGGTTTTTTCTCTTTTATTAGACTAAGGGGTTCCCAATTAGCACAATAGGTGGTACTTCCCCCCCCCCCCCCGCTCCAAAAAAAAAAAAAAGGAAAAAAAAGTTACGTTAAGGAAATTTTACTTATTTTTATTTCTCAGGTTGTGTCTTGCAATTAATGGACAAAGGACTGAGCCTCCACCCCTCATGCTGAATGACCCATAGATTCACACTGACAAAATGCTCAGCAGGGCTTATTTATATATTACTTATGAAAATTAGAGACATGTGCAACACTTGGGTATCTTTATTGTAGACATTTCGTCATCTAGTGAATTTATCAATATAAATTCAAGGACATAAATG